GGTTGCTTTTATGCTATCGAAAGAATGTGCGGAATGCGTGTAGGCGAAACAATGCTTAGGTGAAACAATGCATGCTTGGGTCATTAGGTTTTGTTAACGACCTTGTTTACTCAAAACCGGTTTTTGTGACGACATACTGTATGCCGAAAATTTCGCTTCTTTTATTGAGTAAATTGTCTTTGTTTATGTCTTTCAAAATGCAAAATTTTTCTTCCAAACATAAATTGCAGCGTTTTGATCTCCCTGCATGTGTACGAAATAGCGTGTTTTAAAATTGACCATTTGATGGTATAATCCTGATTGTTTTCTTTTAATTTCCGAATATGTTTCGAAAGCATTTATATGTTTAAAAGATCACAAAGAAAATTTCGAAAACAATCCAAAATGCCGACTAATTAATCAGGCCCGCAAAAAGCGAATCCGGAAACACTAAGTAATGTTATTTTAGATAAAATCAATTCCAATTTAAAACAAAATCTAAATTCAAATCAATGGAGAAATACGCAACAAGTAATTTCATGGTTTCGCAATATGAAAGACAGGCACAGTTTTATTTCGTTTGACATTGTGAATTTTTACCCATCCATTTCTGAAAAACTTTTAAATGAAGCATTGGCCTGGGCTTCGGATTTGACTCATATCACCGAAAACGATATTTCAATAATAAAACATGCAAGAAAATCTCTACTTTTCGGCAACGGCAAATTATGGACAACAGTTTATTTGACGTCACCATGGGTAGTTTCGACGGCGCTGAAATTTGTGAGCTGGTAGGCCTTTTCATTTTAAATCACTTAGGTATAAGAGGTTTGGCAAGGAAAACATCGGCCTTGATAGAGATGATGGTTTGGCTATTATAAAAAGCAAATCCTCCCGTTTACAAGACAAAACTAGAAAAGAGCTACACCAAATTTTTGTGCAATTTGACCTGAAAATCACCACCGAAGTAAAGTTGAACGTTGTAAATTTTTTAGATGTTACTTTAGACCTGAGTAGTAATATAGGTACCGATCGGGCCGGATTTTTGCGGTGGAGTGTGGTGGAGTGTGGTGGAAGGAGGGTGCGTAATGACTCATCATTAACATACGTCATAATTATATGCAATGACGTCAAGCGGGCAGGTTTGAACCAGTGAACTGTAATAACACTGGAACGCTAACTGCAGGTAAACATGCCCATACTTGCCCGAAGCCAAGATGGCGCTTCTCGCGAGCTCGGCGAGCAATAAATTATCTTTCAAAAGGACTGGGGAGAGTTTCGAGGAGCGGGAAATTCAGTCAAAAGTTTGTTTTTGAGCGAAAATCAGCAAGAAAAAGCACTTTTTTTATCAAAAGGCTTCAACTTAAAAGATTCAAACCTGGTTTCCTGGATAGGTCTAAGTATTTTACATCCACTAACAGCAAAAACTTCCTGGATAACAGCTTGATATTCAAAATATTACACAAGTTTGAACGTGCCGAACAAAACTTCGCACTTTGACAACCGAAAAAAGAACTTTATAACTGCTCTACGTTCTGGAAACATGTTTTGTATTAAATTTCAGGTATAGTTAAAAGTTTATAGCTTTTTTGCTTGTTGAAATACAGTTATTTAGTGGTCGAAAACAGACATTTTTTAGGCGGTGTATTTTCCACTCCATACCTACATGGCGGCCATCATGAGTGGCTTTAAAGATGGCCGCCAAGTTATCGTTCCAGTTCTCTTAGAGATCACTGGTTTAAACAAGGACGTGTGAAACTTGCTGACTACGCATTTTCCAGCGTCCCTCCTCGTGTGCGACACAATAGTTAGGGCTATATACAAAAGAATATGTTGTTGTCTGGAGTTTTATAAGTACAGCTCTAGCATTTTGCTGTTATTGTCAAGTGATTCCTTTAATTTAGCTCCTAGAGGAGTAAAAAATCTGATACTATATGAAATAGCATTAGTGATATATCTAAAACTTATATATTCGGGGTATACAGCTATATGTTTTTTTAAGTAATATATAAATATTATCAAGCGTCAAATACGGAAGAGAAAGAGAGCATTATCCTGGGTGATATAAATTGTGATCTATTACACAAAAATCTAGATCATATGACGAAAGAACTCAATTTCATTACTAATTTATATCAAGACAAACAATTGATAGACGAGCCTACAACGGTATTGACCATTTCTATACCAATAAAAAGGGAAATATTATATTAGCAGGAGTCTCCAAAATAACGATTAGTGACCATTATTTAATATATGGCATTTTGTCATTCCCATCGTTAAAAGGAGACGAACATATTTTGGAGTTCCGTGATTTCAAAAATTTCACAGAAGAAAATTTCCTACGCGATATAGCATCGTCCGAAAACCATAATTTGGATTTATACATGGATTCCAACCGAATGTGGTATATTTGAAAAAATAAATTTACTGAAATTATTGATAAACATGCACCACTTAAAACCCGTAAAATTGGTAAGAAGCGTACCCCTTGGGTTACGAAAAAAGTACTTTATAGTAAGCGAAATAAGTTAGAACTTATTAAAGGAAAAGGCCTTGAAATCTAAAAATGAAAATGATTAGCAAAACTTCAAATCAGCTAGAAATTCTTATAATAAATTAATTAAGTCGTCCATTCGCCATCATTATAGTGTTGAGATTAGGGATAATCAAGGAAATACTAAGAACATGTGGAAAACTATTAATAACTTGATTCATAAATCAAAAAATCTCAAAATATAACTGAGATCCGTAACGAGAATGGTGAAATGGTTAATATTCCAGGCATACCTAATGCATTTAATAATCATTTCACTGATCTTGGTTTCATTCTTTCCCAAAACATCTCAAGTTGCTCTATTCCACCAGAGAGTTATATCAGTGAATCAATGCAGGAATTTATTTTCTGTGAAATAACTGAACAGGAAGTTTGCCAGTTATTATTATCATTATCATCTACTAAGGCATTGGGCCCAGATGGATTACCAGCAAAACTTATTAAACTGGCCTCACCTTACATTGCTAAATCGCTGACAACAATAATTAATAGGTCTATATCCACCGGCATATTTCCATGTGAGTGGAAAAATGCAAGAGTCATCCCAATTTACAAAAGTGGCCTTAAATCTAATATGGATAATTATCGACCCATATCTATTATTTCGGTAATTGCCAAAACAATGGAGAAACTCGTACATAACCAGGTCTATTCTTATTTACAACGGGCAAATATACTAACTAAGGCACAACATGGCTTTAGACCTCTCCACTCCACTGTTACTGCATTGTTGAAAATGGCATTCCGCAGGCTCAATTCTTGGACCCTTACTCTTTCTTGTTTACATAAATGACTTGCCAAATTGCTTAAAAAGTGCGGATTGTGACACGTTTGCTGATGATACTCAATTAGGAACGGCAAATAAGGATGTTAAAGTAATTTTTGAAACGTTAAATGATGACCTAGCAAATATTTCAGTTTGGATGGCGGCCAACAAGCTGAGCCTGAACAAAAGCAAAACTGAATATATGTTTATTGGATCACATCAAAAACTTAAACAGTGTAACTTCGAATTGCAAATAAAAATTGGAGATACGCCTATTCAACGAGTAACCGTTACTAAATCACTGGGTATGATGGTAGATGAGACCTTAACCTGGCATTCTCAAACAGATCTAATTACAAATAAAGTGAACAAGGGTCTTTATGTCCTTAGACGATTAAGAGATTTTGTTGATGTAAGGACTCTAGTAACAGTTTACAAAACCTTAATTCAACCACACTTTGATTACTGCTCGCAAGTATGGGGTTGTCTTGGAATTACCCTTCAAAACCAATTGAAACGTTTACAAAATAGAGCAGCACGTATCATTACAAAGCGTGGGTATGAATTTAGATCAGCCGATATACTTAAAGAATTAAATTTACCTAATTTAAGTCTCAGAAGAAATAATCAATTATGTACTACTATGTATCAGGTAAATAATAACATGGTGCCTGATTACCTAATTGATTTATTCACGAAAACCAGTGCACTTCATAATCATCAAACTAGGCAGGCTGAATTTAACTTTGCACTCCCGAGGCCAAGTACCACCTTTTGTAAAAAATCATTCTCGTACAGAGGAGCTGTAGCCTGCAATGATTTATTACCTAATATAAAAAATATGGGTTCATTGTCAACCTTCAAAAGGGCTCTAGTGTCAAATAGTGGTAATAATTCTTGATAATCAATTTTTTTTTCTTTTTCTCTTCGATTTTATTGTATTAACTTAATAAAATATTTTTATAATTGCATGTAATTATTCATACATGTATAACACGGCCTATTGGAAGATCACATCTTGTAAATATTTTAGTTTTTGTCTTTGTGAAATAGTACCGTAGGTAAATAAAGTTTGATTGATTGATTGATTGATTTAGTTTGGGTGGCGAAGAGATAAACACGGCAGTCGCCAAACAGGTCCCCCAAAACTTGCTTATCTGCTGGTGTATCAGGCTTGTTATCCACCAATAAGTATCGAAACGGTTTTTCAGTCTCTTTGCGCTCATAAAGACTCTATTCTTATCAAACATTCGTTCTCCAACAATTCCAATTTGTTTCCTATCACTAGGACTTCGGAAGAGAGCAAGATATTGGGCATTTCGGCTAATATCTGTATTAAATTTCCCCTTAGGAAACATGTTCTGAAGCAAAAGGATAACACTAGCGTTTCTATGACGTCCCTGGGTAAATAATCGAGCTACTACAGGACTGTCTGGCGCTTCGGCAATCAAATCATCCAGTATGATTACGTTGTTGTACCAGGTATTGATCTCACTCAGATCCTCGGACAACTCGGGCAAACCTCTTTGAAATCGGATGCTTTTCCCAAGGGACTTTTTTAACTCATCATAACGATCTTGCCATTGATTGTAGCACCAATGAACCCGAATACTTCTCTGCTCCTCGTACACGATACGATTGTTTTCCAATATTTGTTGGACAAAATAAGTTTTCCCACTTTGGCTCGGACCCACGACCATTAGCGAAAATTTATGGCGGAAGTTGAATTCTGGATAGGGTTTGGTGGTCAAAGATGTTGTAACTTTCGGTACGGTTTTTGTTGGTTTTAGTACAGACCTTGTTTTCTTTCGAACACATTTCATTTCTTTTAGTATATGGGCCGGTGGTATGGGCAGCAAACTTGAGTTAATTTTTTTTTCTTAGATAAATAGAGTTATTAAAAAGACCGATTTAGCAGTCAAGGACTGAATTACATCGGTTTACAAGATTAAAAGGAATAAAATACAAAATACAATCAGATTAAGAATTATTATAGTAATAATTACATGGTTAATTATATTAAGTTTTACTAATGTTAAAAGCTTTACTTCCAGCAATTATGAAACTGTTTGCATATCTATTAGTTCTACACCTAGGTATTGATAGTTTGTTATTACCACCCCGAAGGGAATATTCTGTATCCCGATTGGAAGGGACAAGGGAATGTAACTTGTGTGCTTCGTCAGTACGCATTCGTTCAAAAAATCTCTTACAGATCGTCTCTCTCCGTATGAATAATGACACCACACCGGCGCGGTCCATTGCAATATCATAACAACAATCTGGGAAGATTATTCGTAGAGCTCTGCGTTGGATCCTTTCGATCTGATCACTTAAATACTGGGGCAAACTGTGATGCCATACTTCGCACGAGTATTCTAAAATTGGTCTAATGCATGTATTAAACACTCGCACTAACTTGCTTGATGGAATGGAAGATCTCTTTAATAATCGTAGAGCATGCAGACGCTTCGCAGCTTTCTTACAAATGAAATCAACATGAAGAACCCACTTGAGGTCTTCGAGATGATTAATCCGAGTAATTTAGCATGTGACACGACAGAAATGTTACAGCCATCAATGGTAAGTGGAGGAAGTGCTTCGGTATCATAAGTCGAAAAACATACTCGAATTTCCTTGGTTTTAGTGGGATTCAATTTCATATTGTTTTTGGCCACCCAACTGGAGCATTCACTAATTTGTGCCGGTAAGACTGAAGCAGACGATTGGGCGCTCGTAATTATTTCCCATAAAGTAGTGTCGTCTACGAATTTAACAGAATCGTCAGAGACCTTCAGGTCGTTCACCATAATTAAAAAGAGCAAGGGGCCAAGTTTGGTTCCCTGTGGGACACCACCATTGATTGACCTCCAACAAGAATAATTCGGGCCGATTCTTGTACGCTGTCTTCTGTCTGTGAGAAAGTTGGCGATCCAATTAATAAGGACAGGATGTATGCCCATATTTATCAATTTTTGAAGTAAGATGTTGAAGTCAATCCGGTCAAATGCTTTTGAGAAGTCCAACGTACAGATTCGAAGACAGGTGCCGGGTGTGTCCATGGCTTCGTACCATTTATGGAACATATATAATAATGCCATTGTGGAACTTGATCTTTTAAGCGCACCAAATTGGAGGTTATCAATTTGACCGCTAACTGACCGTAAAAGCCAGCTATGAGGGAATGACTCTAAGATCTTGCTTACAATTGGCGTAAGAGAGATCGGTCTAAAATCGGAATCAATATCCAGGGCAGGTGACGATTTTGGCACAGGAGACACATTGGCGGATTTCCACAACAACGGGATGTTTCCTTCTTGGATAGAAGCATTGAAAATGGATGCTAATGGGCGGGATAGGGAGGCAGAGTTCTCACGGAGGAGCCAAGGAGAAATCTCATTTGGACCTGCCGCCGAATGAGATTTTACAGATATTAGTGCTTTCTCAACTTCATCAATGGAGATATAGAAATCTAAAGGAACGTCATCAACTGCAATGGGTGTCCATGAGAATGGGGGAAGGGTGCTTCCTACAGCAACAAACTTGTCGTTAAACAAGTTAGCTAGGGCGGAGCCTGGGTAGGATTGATCATTGTATAAGATAGTGGAAACGTTTTTCGTTGCACCAAGGCCAGCTATGTTTTTTATGTTGGACCACCACTTATGCGGATTTGATTCAAAACAGTCGGCGACATTGCTGTTGTAAAATCTTGAACGAGCTCTCTTACAAAGCATATTTACTTTGTTTCTGTAGAGATGGAACATGATATTGTTTCCGCTATTCCAAGCTGCTTGACGTTTGGAGATTAATCTTTTGATCTCCGATGTTACCCAGGGCTTATCGCTACTATCCGATTTTATACGTTTCATTGGAAGGTACTGGTCGACAGTGCCATTAATAATGAATGAAAAGTAATGAAACTTATCGTTGCAAAAGTCCATTCTATACAGGGGAGACCAGTTTATACCTGACAAAGCCTCGAAGACTAACTTCCGATTAGGGGAACGCGTGTCTCTGACCATTCGGGTACTAACGGGTGTGTTAACAGGGCCCTATCGTCGCTTTTCGGTGGATGGCAAATTGCGACTAAAATTATAGAATTAATTCCTCGTGGTAGTCGACTTGGTTTTATTAGGAGCCATAACGATTCAAGTTCGGGATGTGAAAGTTCCTTAAGATGAACCTCAGGCATACGATCGTTTACATAAACACAAACACCTCTACCTCTTCTACCATCTCGTCGGTCACGCCTGAATATGGAGTAGCCATTTAGATTTATCGCTGAATTGCTGACATTAGGAGAAAGCCAAATTTCCGTAATGACCACAATATCCAAAGAAAGTGAAGAAACAGTTCCAGACAGCTCATCGATTTTATTGACTAATGACCTCGAGTTGGATAGGAACAAGGAGGGTAAGAAGGTATACGAGGCATTGCTGCTTAATTTAATTTTCCGGAGGTTACGACGATTACTGAGTATGCCAGAATTATAATTGCGGATAGATCGGTGATCACGTGCAGTAATCCGAACGGGGATCATGGTGGAAGGTACCTTGTGGGAATCTGTAAGGTTTTTAGGAGGACATAAGGGGATATTTGAGGCCCTCGACATGCAAGGGGTGTTATCATTTTCCGATAAATTATTCAAGTATTCTCTGGTTTTGTTAATTTCTGTAAACTCGTGTTCGAAGGGTTCTATTGGGTAATTGGACTCGGTCAGTTCTGCTTCACATGATGTAGAACTCTTGGGTGGTTCTATACTAGTGTTGATTTGTGAGTCATTTGACTCACAAATTGTAGATAAACTGCCCATTCCATAGATTGTTTTTCCAAGACAATACGCGGGGGTCGATAATTGGCAGGGCTCTTTCGAAAAGGAGCAATTTTACGTTGGGGTTGAGTAAAATCCCTTAGACTTGAGGTTTTAGATTGACATATACCGTGTTTGTGACCATTCGGAATTATTCCTAAAGATTTCCTCGATCTGTTGGATAATAGAGGACTATTTGATTCCAAAGATTGCCACATAGACATATTAACGTGCTGCGGTAATAATGATGTTTCCTGGTTTGAGGTTTTAGATTGATATATACCGTGTCTGTGGCCGTTTGGGATTTTTCCTAAAAGTTTCCTCGATCTGTTAGATAAAAGGAGACTATTTGATTCCAAAGATTGGCACGGAGTCATAACGTGCTGCGGTAATAATGATGTTTCATTTAGGTTATTTACTTGTTTACAATTAAAACCTTGAGTATCACACAGCGGTAATTTATTCAGGAACTCTTTATTGTCATGACATGGTATTTGCAATTCGGGGGTTTGATCATGATTCTTTTTGTTAACATGCAACGAGGGAGTAACAGGCGCTTGGGGTGGAACAATAGGCGATTGTGGAGAGACAATAGGTGATTGATTTGAGATAGCATCTACCTCCTCCGCAGGCCTTTCGATGCGGGCGGGAATAATTTGCGGGCGTGAAATTTGAGATCAAGGAAGAACGGAAGGCGACGAAAGGCCTGCTGAATAATAGTCGGTTCCTGGGCATAAGTGACGTTTCCCGGGTATCGGTTTTCAATCCTTAAAAATCTTCGTGAAATATGAACCATCCTATCCCAAAACTATTGTCCCGTGTATGGTAGAGTATTTGTGATACTTCAGGGCAGTCATGGCCGAAAGCAGCGACGAACAGAGGGGAAAATCGAGGATTTCGACGATGTTGACGTTCTTAATAATATGTCATTCTGTGAAATGGAAATATGTATGTATTTTACCTGATTAAATATCATGTAGATCATTGACGCGTTTTATAATGCAATTCATAACAAGCAGTCGTAACACAATGATATCGATCGCTATGAACAGGACACGCTTGAATAACGCCATATGTTGACAATTAATATGTTGTGCTCATCGTTCGACGGCAGCGATGTGGATGGGTCATTCCATTTATTATCCGCACCCCCCCTATGGATGAGCGGATTCCTACCGGTCAGATATTAGGACTTAGGGGATTCCTACTGGTCAGATATTGGGAATTAGCAGATTCCTTCGGCCCGATTCCTACCGGTCAGATATTGCCGTCGAGGTGTAGCATACTATATTGCCAAATATTTATTATGAGAATCATAATCATTCCATTTATTATCCTCACCCCCCCCCCCGGTCTGACATTGGGAATTAGCAGATTCCTACCGGTGAGATATTGGCAATTAGCAGATTCCTACCAGTGAGATATTGGCAATTAGCAGCATTCCTAGGGTTTAGATTGATACTGTCGATTCCAACAGGGTACTTCTCTGAAATCCGATTCCTACAGGTAACATTTTTACCAGAGCTCATCCATAGGGGGGGTGCGGATAATAAATGGAATGACCCGATACTCTCAATATATCGTTTTCTGAAATGGACTTGGTATGTAGATTTTTGTGGTAATGGAGATTCTACATGCAGACATTGTGTTATTATACTCAAAAGACAAAGAACAAGCGAACAATGAGACGCTATATTACTTCTATTTACATTGTAAATGTATATTTTTAATATGCAAATATAATTTCACCATATTTATCTTTCAAATTGTGCTTTTAATGTTTCATGCAGACTGATATTTGAATCTTATCTAAAGTATTTGGAATGGCTTATCATAGGCTTAGTCGCAAAATATGTAGAAAGCGGATATAATATCGTTGATGTTGTATTTGCATTGGCATAATTTGTATAAACACTTTATATTAGACAGTCTCCATCGTCATAGAAAAGCGGCGGCTAGTTATAAGTACTTTTTAGTCTGCCAAGACCACTGGATGCTATTTCTAAATATTATTTAGATCTATTAGATCAGTGCTGGTATGTATATTGTATATTAAGTCATAATAGTAAAGTCAAAATGAAAAATTCGATTTATAGCATACGCCATCTTGAAAGCATTACTCGGCAGGCGCTCTCGCCTGCAACCCGCATTTTCCGAACCTGCCCGAAATGCACCCTAAGCGCCTGCGGAGGAGGTAGAGATAGCATCATAATCCTTTAAACATTTTTCCAATTTCATGTCCAAGGAATTAATTTTGCTTTTAAGTGCTTCAATTTCAGAATTCTTTTCCTTCTCCATTAGACTTATTGTGGGTTCTGATTTCGTACTTTTACTTACCTCCCCATCAAGCACGGATTCAAGATGCACAATGTTGTCATTACTAAAACATATGGCTTGCGTATTAGCCAGCGATTGTAAAGCATCTATTCTAGTTAATATAATTTCGAAATTGATTTTCATGTTATCAAACTCAACGCACAAACATTGTTCCCTGTTAGAATCAACAGTTTGGGAAGATTGATCAACATATTTCGGGCTCGGCTGTTTATCTACATATCTTTAACTGCGCTACACGAAACGTTCGAGGTCTGTGTGTGTGGTGAATTAGTCATGCCATCAGTGTCCCGACTATTAAGCACAGGGATATTTTGGACACACACTTTCACGCTGTTTTCAAAAGTATTAAACGATGTTGACTTACATACCGTGACCAAAATTTCGTTTACTAAGTCCCCAGTTTTGCCATGGAATAACAAGGAGTTTAATTTACCGGGATACCATGTGCAGGATAAATCCGCAATAGAACTTACAAACTTTTTTGAAGTTTCTCCGGCCGATTTCCATTTGCCTTGTTGTGCAAATACACATTCGATAAATTTCTGTAGTGATTCGTAATCGTTATGCCAGCTGATTCGTTTACCATCCTAATCTATATCTTGGGAAACTTTATGTCTATAGATTCCTTGGAAATCACATGTTGATAAACAGATATTTCCATTTAAATTACTAAACTCAGACGAGCAACACACCGCCATGTTGGAACTACATGGAACATATTGGCCTGAGGATGATTACAAACTAGTCGAAACGTCAATTAAAAATCAAAATATTATTACTGTTAGTGTTATTTTGTATTTTCTTAAAATACTGAGTGGTTCCCCTAATCAATACAAAATGTGTGGATTAAATAGAATGCGAAATTACTTTTTTATTTGTATATATTTATGCATCATATACTTGTATAACTCGCTGGCGGAGCTGAGGTGATGCAGTCGTCGAGTGCCGGGCGTCTATTGAAGAGCCCTAGTTGATAGATGTTGTCCAAAAACACATCCCTCATAAGTACAGTAAAGAGATGGCAAAGTGGGTTTTAAACCTTTCCGTGCGTATACTCCATATCTATAATCAAGTAAAGCCGCGGTCGCACGAGGGTAAGAGTTGATGAGAGTTGGCAGTCATGCATTGTTACAGGGGACATTTCAAGCTCCAGATTAACAAAATAAAGGTTTGATGAATGTTGCAACCACGTTTTAACCTTAAATAAAATACATGCCTCGTTTCATCCCGGCTTAAGGTCCTTAACTGGCAAGTACTTAAGTGATCATTTCATGTATGCCGTCATGAACCTGAGCGAAAATTGCGTTGTTTTATGCCAGAGCAAACTCGATTCTATCTAAAATATACAAATTGATGAACAAACTTACGTTGACTAAACAGCAAAACAAACAGGAGTAGAGAGATATCCATCTTTTCAGGCTGGTTAATTATTGCGGATTATTGCTTATCACACTTGCTGTTGTGAACTGTCACTGTTGAAATATTGACTCTCGTCCGCATTTTATCTCCACCCCTCTTTATCTCCTACCTAGTGAACCAATCAATTGCGTGTTTATCTATTGGTCGAGTGTCGAGGGTTAAATGTCGAAGGCGGGGGTAAAAAGTCGAGGGTAAAAAGTCGAGGGTTAAAAGTCGAGGGTAAAAAGTCGAGGGTAAAAAAGTCACAAAAAAATACAAATTCAATATTAAGGTCAGGTAACCGCTTCGGATAAGGCCATGGCGACGTCTATACGTGTCTTCTCGGCAGTATTGTATATAATATATATATATATATATATATATATATATATATATATATATATATATATATATATATATATATATATATATATATATATATATATATATATATATATATATATATGCGTTCCACGCACACACGTTGGGCGATGTTTTTGCCTTTATTGGCAGATCAGGTTATTGACATACCATAATTACTCGAATAAACGCCTCTCTCGAATCACGCCCTCGAATAAACGCCGCAGGGACAAGCAAAAATATTATTAAACGCCGCCCTCGAATAAACGCCGCATTTTTTCTCATCGATGCGGCGTTTATTCGAAGCATTCATAACATATGAACTTTATTCTTAGTTTTTTGGGTTAAGTGTTGAATTTTAATTAAACAATAAATGCACACTTGTTGTTACAAAATTTGCAATAAACGCCGCCCTCGAATAAACGCCGCACCTTGAGCGCCAAAAATGTAATAAACGCCGCGGTGTTTATTCGAATAATTACGGTATCCGACATGCCGCAATCCACTGGCTCGAATAAACATATTTGACGGATATCACGCCTCATATATCCTAAGTTCTTACTTGCATCTTGCATCTTAAAATGTATTTGATCGATATTTCGCTTTCAATCAGTTCGCTGAAAATGTCTTCAGACAAATTATATCCCGATGCTGTACATACATACATACATACATCAACTTTATTTAAACACGGAAAATCATCAGTATAGTTATTTACAAAAATATTAAAATATTTTAAAAGGAGCAAAAAGAAATATAGATACTGTTCTACCTGATTGCCGTGTGGGAGTCAGATCGATTAGTTATTAAGAAGGCTTCTAAACCTGTCTTAAATGCAGCGAGAGAGGTTACTGATCTAAGAGATTCTGGCAGGCCATTCCATAAAGAGGCTCCACTGTAAATGAAGGAGCGTTTCAAATAATCTGTGCGTGGTTTTGGGACATAAAGTTTACCATAAGAATCTCTCAGGTTATAAACACTCTCACTGGGAGAAAACATCTCTTGTAAATAGAATGGTGTATGTTTATTAATAGTATTAAA